AAAATGTCACCAAAGCATTAGCTATCCCACCACGAAATAAATAAAAACGTAGATCATTCGCCGTACGCCCAAACAGCAACAAATTTTATTTATTTATTTATTTATCTTTGAGATATATAAAGGAGTTGTTACATTATTGTACAGCCACTAGTACGCGTAGCGTTTCGGGCAGGTCCCTGGAATACGATCCCCTGCCGCGAAGAATCGTTTTTTTCATCCAAGTACACATTTTTACTGTTGCATTAAACAGAGGCTACAGTTAAGGAATTGCGCCCAGTAAATCCTCCCCGGCCAGGATACGAACCCATGACATAGCGCTCGCAGAACGCCAGGCGAGTGTCTTACCACTACACCACGGAGACAATGTTCATACTCTTTTGTTTGTTGTCAGCTCCACATTAATCCTACAGCGTTAAATTTTATATCACTAAACTCGCAATAAAATTCCCTACACAGACATATGCATATAAATGTAGAATCATGAACGCGGCCCACAACAACAGTCCAACAACGGCCCACAGCAGTCTCCGTGGTGTAGTGGTAAGAGCAGTCTCCGTGGTGTAGTGGTAAGACACTCGCCTGGCGTTCCGCGAGCGCTGTCATGGGTTCGTATCCTGGCCGGGGAGGATTTACTGGGCGCAATTCCTTAACTGTAGCCTCTGTTTAACGCAACAGTAAAATGTGTACTTGGATGAAAAAACGATTCTTCGCGGCAGGGGATCGTATTCCAGGGACCCTAGGATTAAGGACTTGCCCGAAACGCTACGCGTACTAGTGGCTGTACAAGAATGTAACAACTCTTGTATATATCTCAAAAAAAAAAAAAAAAAAAAAAAAAAAAACAAGTGTGTGAAGTGGGCGATTACCCTCGTTGTGTCAACAATTCAATAGTCTCTCCACTAAGTTACAATACAATGCCGTTCTCCCAAATAGGCCATGTGTCTATTAGAGAAAACGGAAATTTAATGGCAAACATTTTGATACTAACCCCAAGTCGATCGAATAAGAATTGGATTTTATAATGTTTTTTTTTAAATTGCGCGGCTATTTACGACTCGGCTACGTAACTGATAATTATTAATTAATTAATTAATATCAATATATGCTTAATAAGCGGCTCAGAGTAAAATTGTTGTGGTTAGTATGATAAATGTTAGTATTATTATATTTACTATTATAAATTATTATTGTAATTAATACAAATGTAATTATTATTCTAAACATTATTATTATAAATGTTAGTATTATAATTATTACTATTATTAAACAATTAAAGAAGTCCCCCACGCTATGCATGCGTTTTCTTCCATACACAGAAAAATAATGAACATACTCATAAGATATCAAATACAATACTAAAAAGTGTCATAAAACGAGATTTATTATATGGATTTATGGAGAGTAGAAGCGTGCAGACTGCAATTAGCAAACCCATTGCCTATGCCAGTGAAATTTGTCACACAGACATGTGCATGGAGCAGATACCAAAAGAAATAGATTATCAGACATTTTCACAGCTGGAATACGACTTGATGATACAAAGTGTAATGTGTGTGTACTCACCTAATTGTTGTACTCACCTAATTGTGCTTGCGGGGGTTGAGCTCTGGCTCTTTGGTCCCGCCTCTCAACCGTCAATCAACTGGTGTACGTGTGTGTGTGTGTGTGTGTGTGTGTGTGTGTGTGTGTGTGTGTGTGTGTGTGTGTGTGTGTGTGTGTGTGTGTGTGTACAAGAGCAGGGACACACATTAGACAATTAAATCTTATGCTGTGCAAAAATTTGCCCATTTATATCTTAAATTTGCACTGCATCCATGTTTCGCTTCTAGTAGATAAAATAAATAAATATAATGTAAGTATCAGGTATATGTAGATTAAAACATAGACAGCAGTGTTCTATATTATCCTGAAATATCCAATATTGAAATTACAAAATAATTTTAAGTATTGACAATACGACTTAAATTACCTTCAATATATATATTAATGTATCGCAGTTTATGTAAGTTGCAGTACGAAAATATTTGTCACTATCGTTATATATAAATATAAAATAAGCAGATATATTGTAAAGGGTAAGGTACCGCTCACAGGATGATTACGAGGTGTACAATACATTAGCCGCCGTTGGTGGTAGTCATCAAGTCAAGCTCAGTATATATATACCCCCAGAAATGGGGAACTTATATATATATTACAACATGTAATATCAATATTTCATATTGATATCCAGGGTCAGGGGTTCTTTCCACGAGATGTTCACATCACTTAGGTATATGGGAACCAAATATATGGGGGTATGCGACTCTACATATCTCTGAATAATTAATTACAAACAAAAAATTGGTTGATAGTTTAGAATTATCAAGGTCAGTAACTCTACCTCGATTCTATGTTTTGATTGCACAAAAACAAAAGAAATCTCACTAGTCATAGCTAGCTCGTTTATTTGTGCTTTGACGTTGTTATAAATATATGATACAATTCGTAATTATGATTTTCTTTCACCCGTTGTGTTATTATCTGTGCATATATAAATTAAACCGAAGCTATTGACATCTTTTGATATTCTGATGGCTAATAGGGGGGTTTCTAGTACGGCAATTTTTGGCCGTAGCGCATACGAGGGAGAAGTGAAGTTATTTGTAAGAGAACGCGTTGGTCTGCTCACCGAACGCATATAATATAAATATATAAACCTGCGATGTTAAATGGGATTTTTGTACTGTGATTTGTGTATTTGTACTCACTGAATTTGTGCGCCCCTTGAGGGACTTGAAATAGAGGGGGGGGGGAATAGAAATAGCCTAATCTGCTCTATCCCATTGAGATGTATTTTTTTCTTGTCTCAATAAACATACTTGAACTTGAACTTGATATAAATATATAATTCTATAGTCACTCATGTAATTCAACGTCAGTTTTTACTGATATTTCACTATTTTGTGATTCTCTGCGTTAATTGTTTCTTGTATAAAATTAATAGGCTTTAAGCCCAACGCCAAACTTGCTGGTTGGTCAGTTAGCTATGGTAGTGGCCTTAATAATCCTTCAGAGGTTGATAGGTCTTAAACCCATCACCAAACTATATTCGCCAAGTTGGTATAGTGAAACACATAATTATTTTATAGATGTTTATTAAAATGATGGAAACAAACATAGATAATTACTCAACAAATGCACCATCAACAAAATAATATATTTGAGTTAACTTCAAAACTGATTTGAGTGTAGGGACATTGATTTGAACACTTCAAAATCAATGTCCCTATACTTCAACATTCTTGTAAGCAAATTTTCTTCAAATGATTTTGTGTTAAACTCCCAGGGTGCTACCGTAAGGTTACATTGGGAATTTGTGAGAATATACTGTCATTTCGAACTTAACAAAAGTACAATTAATTTTAAATTAATTAAAACTAATGGATATATTACATTAAATAATTAAAAATATTAAAAAGTTATATTATATTCCTATCCAAGAGCGCATAATACCCAAGCGTAGCATAAATTCAGAGATGAATTAACGTTATCAAAGTTAATTCAAGGTTGATAATGTTGTGCTTGGGTACTGTGCCCACTGGGTTATAGCTTACTATAATACTGAGACATTTAATAATGATACATTTATAATACATTTAATACTTATCATTTACTGGCCATTTTGTACAGTAGCACAAAAGGATTACATAAGGAAGACATATATCCTACAAGCCTAATCATCTGTACACAATAAGACCAAATGTGACATTGCAAACATTGTCAAGATGGGTTGAACCATCAGGAGAAAGCGCCAAGGCGTTACGACTATATAGCACTTAAAAGGTATCTGGAAAAGGATTTGGGATGGGACGGGGAGGGAAGGAATGGTGACCAGCCACTTGGACGGTCGGGGATTGAACGCCGACTTGCATGAAGCAAAACCGTCGCTCTGCCGTCAAGTCCAAGTGGTTGGGTAAGTCTGGCGATGTTTGCTGATAGGGAAGCAGTTCACGCTACGCTTGTTATTACAGCCGCGACGGCTAGTATCTTGTGCAGCCACTCACTAAATTATTACACTATTTCCAAGGTCACTAAACTGTTGTACTAAAGTGCTCGATCCTAACCAACCAGAGGACACACCAACAGAAAACGAGATATCACGTAAATTTCGCGAGCCGCTTCCATTTTAGGTACAACACCCTTATCAGTCTAATTAAATATAATGTATATTTAGAAAATATAGAAAATGTCATAATGTCAACCAATACACAATGGCCTCTGATTAAAACTTTTTTCGTCCTCTGTAATCCTTTTTGAGTCCTTTGTAATCCTTTTTGCCTCCTCTTTAATCACAAGATGAGCATGGTGTAACACCACGCCTACAGGAACTATAACCGCTGTGTATAAAAAGATATAACAACACATGAACTAAGCTGACAATACGTCACAATAACGGGAGTGAACATTAGACACCCAACTCACACACCTGTAGGTAAAGGAATTGGCGAAACTTGGTTCGAAACAGACCGAAACGGGGTCAACACATCTATTTTCAGATTTGTGAGTTGGATGTCTAATGAGCTAAGCAGTTTTGGATATTTTACATAATTGCCAACATTTGGCCTTACAATGAGACAAAAGTGTTAAAGTTTATATCTACAAAGGCACAAAGTTACCTCCAATTTAGGCTACAGAGCTTTTAATTTCCTTATAAAAATGTTCATCAGCTACAAACAGCGCACCTTCGTTGTGTCTCAGGGCAGCAGTCCCAGGAGGTAGAGAGATGACCACGACACACAACATCTTCGATCGCTGTCTCAGAGGGCAACAGTCACAGGAGGTAGAGAGATGACCACGACACAGAACATCTTCGTTGTGTCTCAGAGCAGCAGTCCCAGGAGGAAGAGTGATGACCACGACACACAACATCTTCGATCGCTGTCTCAGAGGGCAGCAGTCACAGGAGGTAGAGAGATGACCACGACACAGAAAAGTTTCGCTGTCTGGGGGCAGCAGGTTCAGTAGAAGTACGTTTGATACATATGTTTGCTGTGTCCCAGGGCATCAAATACAGAAGGTGGAGTGTCGATGCCCTGGACGCAGCAGACCTTCGCCGTCTCCACCAGAAGCTTCACACTCTCGACAGTATTCGACGCAGTTTCAACGATGCTCTTGAACTCTGCAAACTTTGTCGATGAGTCCAAAGTTCGAGCTATTTCCTTTGCATGGGAGACAAGTTTTTCGTAGTCACGCCAAGTTCTTCCATCAAATAAGTCTCCCGTCAAGGGTTCTGCGTAGCCCATATCAATGATGTGAATTATGAAATTGCTTGAAGTTCTATCTACAAGTATATTTTCTGAATGAAGATCGTTGTGAGCAAAGCCTTTTTTGTGGATCTCTTCAACAGCTTCACACAGTTTGATGAATACCTGAAGACCTTCGAGATGAGTACAACTCCCGGAGAACATTTGAAGCTCGTGTCCAGGGCAGTGAGACATCACCAGGTAGAATGGTTCTTCATGGGTGACCCCAAACAACACCGGGGCGCCTCCTGCACCATTAAGACTTTGCAGAACTTTGGCTTCTTGTTCTAGTTGGTGTCTGTTGGAAAAATGCAGTTGTTTAATAACTACTGGAGTACAGGTCCAGTCGCTGACAAGAGTGCCGGTGTAAATTATGCCCTGGGCACCCTGTTTTAACACCCTCTCCAGGGTCAGGTCTTCCTGCCTCACTCGACGGATGGTGTAAGGCAACATGCTCGTATTTCCTGCTTGTAGATTCAAAGATTTTTTTCTCTTGGGATCCTCTTCTATGATGTGTCGCAAAGTGAGATTATTGGGGTGTGTGAACTATTTTCCTTTAAATTGTTTGGTATGGACGTCTTGAATGCTTGGCGATTGTTTGGGCAAGAGGAATGCTGTAGATTTTGCAATGAAGTAGACCTTTCTTGTTTCACTGCCTTCGAATATATGATTTATGACCTGAGGCATCATCCTTTATATACCTATCTTTTGTCATATTTTCCATTTAAAATATGAGTGAAAATTTTGATACCAGACATTTTTTTTTTAAACAGTAAGGTACAGAACCACATAATTTCTGACTCTTGGTAGCAAGCTAAGTAATTTCCCCTCCTACAGCTCATTTTAAATACTGCCGTTAATACGCAATTCTAATAATCCGATTTAAATTTGAATACTTGTAGCTAACTAATATTTCCACTAATGTATTGTTATCCTCGAATTATACATCCATACAATAATACAAATAATTAGCAAATTTTCCTAACAATATATTAGCAAATCACGTTATCAACAATAAACTTAAATATAAGATCTGTAAATTAAATTTTGATGGAATTGGCGCCTTACTGCAAGCACTCAACAATAAATTATTTTTTGTAATATAAATAAAAACATGGCTAAATATGAATCGAACCAACTATTTTAACATTCCAACTACACAGAAATTCACAACAAGCAAACGAAAGAGGTTTAGGTGATACAGCTTACTTTTCACAGTTGAAATGCACCAAACTTATCAAAACTACAGACCTGTGGAGAATATATATTTTCCTAAATAACATGCAAAGTTTCTGACTAACATAACAGCTGAAGCTGTCAATAGAATATTTATTAATTTATAGAGAACCAAAATCAAATTCCTAGACCAAATAACGTTGAAAATAAAAAGATAAATATATATATGCCATTTTTTATTATTTATGTTTAGAATGATATTTTGTGTCTTGGAAAGACTTATGGTGTAGAATTATGATTTATGGTATAAGACATGTAATTTTTTTGTACTATATTTTTAACCAGAAAATGAAGTTGAAAACTGAGTCCATTTATATTATATATATTTTTACTGAAGGAATTTTCAATGACATTTCATGGTATATTTGGAAAGAATGCACCCTTTTCTTCACATATATTTATTACTGTAGAGAAAAGCAAAACAATATTGCCCTCTTTTTTTTAATTTCGACCAAACTACATGGATAATAAAAATGGTGGTGTCTCACATACCCAAAATTCAAATTTTGATTCATGTATAAAAGGACATACACAGATGAAGAGTTACAGACATAATGTTGGATGTATAGATAGAGCTCGTACATACAATACCTCTAGCCACTAATACGCACAGCGTTCCGGGCAACGCTATTGTACCTTCTTTTAAATAATTATTATTATTAACTCGTATATTCACTTCAGGAAAATTATGTCAAATTTTTTTAAATTTTTTCGCTTAGTGATATATTATCTAGTTTGTAAATGAAGAGTGGCTACAGTACTGAGTGTGTTTGTGGTTCAAGTAATTACTTGATCAACCGATCAAGTAATTTTTTTTTCATTTTCCCTTCGTATGTATATATATATCTATAATATAAAAATGACTTGGGCAGATTTATGAACGACACATTTTCTTCTTATAAATGAATAACAATATATAAAAAAAATAAATAAAATGTTTATTTAGGTAAGGTACATACATACAAGAAATTTTTACAAAGATTGGTTGACTTATAGGTAGAGCTAGTACATACAATGCCTAAAGCCACTATTACGCAAAGCGTTTCGGGCATGAAAAACTTAAATGACAAGCTTAATACTAATTGATCATAAAGAGTAGAATGAAAACAACCTTTCTAAGGTTGTTCTAAGGAATGAATATACCTTTCAATTGTATAATTTAGAGCACGCAAGCATTATTTATATGCAGACGGGGAGTCACAATAACAGGGCTGAAATATGAAATACATTCTCAAGACAATCGACTTGAGAATGGTCCAGGACGGACCGAAACGTCGAAATGAGGTCTGAGAAAGACCTTTTGTGCCCTCTGTAATGCTTTTGCGCTACCGCTCACAGGATGAGTATGGGGTGCACAATAATCAAATCAAATTAAATCAAATGTTTATTTAGGTAAGGTACATACATACAAGAGATTTTACAAAGAGTGATGGATTTATAGATAGGGCTAGTACATACAATGCCTAAAGCCACTATTACGCAAAGCGTTTCGGGCATGAAAAACTTAAATGACTAAAGCTTAATACTAATTGAGCATAAAGAGTAAAATGAAAACATGGAATGAAAACATAGCTGAAAAAGCAGCACAAATACAATTATGTCGACAAACAGCGCTCTTTAAAAAAAACAGACATTGGTTAACAATAGAGGGGTAAGGTAGGTTACAGGGAATTTATTAGGTATAGCTTCGTTTTTATCTTAAACTGGTTGAGAGAGGTACAGTCTTTAACATGGTTGGGAAGGTCATTCCACAATCTGGGTCCCTTGATTTGTAGAGCATTTCTAGTTTGATTAAGTCGTACTCTAGGAATATCAAAACTATTTATTTCTGGTGTGGTGCTCATGGGTTCTGTTACAACCTTCTATGAAGCTTTTGAGGTCAGGATTGGCATTACAGTTTAGCGTTTTATATATGTATAATACACATGAGAGAATGTGCAGTGACTTAACACTTTTCTGAGATCTTCACTTGGATTTACGGGCGGTTTATTTAAGCACTTGTCGGATCACGACGTAAATTTACGGTCCGTGTTATAGTGGGTATATACTACTCGATCGACTTGGGGTTTGTATGAATATGTTTGCCATAAAATTTCTGTTTTCTCTAATAGGCACAGTGCCTATTTGAGAAAACGGCAATGTATTGTAACTTAGAGGAGAGACTATTGAGTTGGTGACACAACGAGGGTAATCGCCCACTCCACACACTCTTGTATTGGCCGCGATCATGATTCTACATTTATATGCATATGTCTGTGTAGAGAATTTTACTCCGAACACTATACAAACAAAAAAACGGTGTGAAACAAGTATAAACTTGAAAAACATGAGCAAAGTAAAAACTTTTTAAGCTCACGGGTACAAACACGCGTAAGATTTTATTCGCCGCAAATTTATTTGACGCTTTGTTGGGCAATTCTACCCATGTTCTTATAGAACTTTCTATTGCGAACACATTGCTATAAAAATGAAATCACGGCTAACGCTTCACCCAGTTCCCACACTCGTGCGGGTCACCCCCTACCATAATTAGACATTGATAGGCATATGTCTGGGTGGGGAATTTTATTGCGAGTTCAGTGATATCAAAATAAGCGCTGTAGGATGACTGAGGCTGGCAACAAACGAAAGAGTATGAACATTTACTTCCTGTTTGGGTGTCACGGCGAGTCATCTTCGTGTTTATTTACTTCGTGGTGGGATAGCAAATGCTTTGGTGACATTTTATGCATATGATCTTGTAGAGAATTTTATTGCCAACGCATTGATACCAAAAAGAAAAACGTAGCTCGAGAATTGATGTTAGGAGCGTGAAAAGATTATACACTTTTTTGTGTTTACGAATGAGCGCCCAGAACCCGGCGCGCACAATGTGTTTTTTTTTTCCACGAGTGCCGTGCGCACTAAAGTGTTTAATGTCTAACATATTCAGAGATTTGAGTAGGGGTACCGCCTAGGGGTAGGCGTAGGGGTAACTAGCTGCCTTCGGCGGCAACAATCAATCGTCGTCCCATCAATTTCTAGTGTGTGGTTTGGTCAACATTATTTATACATAACATATTCTTAATAATAATAATAATAATGATACACACAGAAAATCACAGTAACGTGATATATGTCAATAAAATAATTCACTGAGGGGACGCGAACCTTCACCAGTTTCCAAGACGCTTGCCTGGCATTCCACGAGCGCTTTGTCATGGGTTCGTATCCTGGCCGGGGAGGATTTACTGGGCGCAAATCCTTAACTGTAGCCTCTGTTTAACTCAACAGTAAAATGTGTACTTGGTTGTAACCACAATTCTTCGCGGCGGGGATCGTATTCCAGGGACCTGCCCGAAACGCTACGCGTACTAGTGGCTGTACAAGAATGTAACAACTCCTTTATATATCTCAAAAACAGTGTTAAAAAAACAAAAACTAAGAAACTGCCAGCCGAATACTCTACCGTTAACAACCACTGCCTTAAATATGCCTTTATTGGCCGGGGTCATATGAAAAACTTTGGCTTCAGGAGGGTCTCCGGACTACTTGTGATTAAAGTAGAAATCTGGGTTTATGCCTTATTCCCCAAGTCCGCGATGTTCTCTTACAAATTACGTCTGAATTTATTCGTTTATCCATATAGCCGAAAATGGACGTAATTTGAAAATAAAAAAGTTCAAATAAATTTTGGATTTTTTTTCCACCAAACAGTAAGTTAAGCCGATTTCACTTTAAATTACGTCCATTTTCAGCCATAGCGCGCATACGAGCTATGCTATACGTTATTTTTAAGAGGACGGGTTGGCACCTTGGTAGAGTGTGCTCTTGGGGCAGCCTTGGAGCTTCCGTTACTTCGGAGCCCCTTGTCAGCTATCTCACCTTGTCAGAGTAACTGAGACAAATATATGTGTATGTATGTGTATATATGTATGTGTATAAAGTATAAAGCTGATCAGAATTGCATTTCACCATTATAAATTCACATTAATGCATTCATAAATCTATGTATTTACGTATGTAGCTGAGCCTAACATTTTAAAAGCACTACGATCACATTCTGTGGTTGTTCAATAAATCTCTGAACTGTATGTTTGACAAATCTTTCACCCTGTCCATGGAGGACAGAAGAAAATGTATATATTCTGGTTAGCATTGTAAATGTATGGCCACGTCTGTGGTAGAAAAAAAAAAAAAAACTTCGGAGCCCCAGTGAATTTTCTCAATAATAATGT